AAAAATCCCCTCATCTTTGATTTGAGTACAAGGAGGGGTGGAGGTGAGCAGGCAGCTGCTGCAGCTCTGACTCCAAACCTAGAGCCCAGGTCAGAGCCAGAGTCAGAGCTTCAGTAGCCACTTGCCCCACAACTCTGCCTGGAAGCCTCTATCCCCTTCCTACCCCTTTACTGTCAGGCAAAGCTCTGATTCCAGTTCCTTTCATTCTTGGGGCATGGGGCACATGGAAGCACCATCCCCTGCCTGGCCAATCAGCAGTGGCAGAGTTCTGACACCCAGATGCTGCTGCACAGCCAGGAAAGGTCCACTTCCATGTGTTCCATGCCCTGGAAGGAAATGGACTTGGAGCCCCGTCCTGAACATAAGTGGGGGTGGGAGGGAGCAGAGGCTGTCAGGGACAGTTGGCAGGCATGCAGGCACCTGACGGGGTGGGGCATGCTGCATGGGGAAACATGGAGGGGGAAGGGGGTTGGCTGTATCCTCCAGCTGCCTGCATCCATGCTGCTGCTCCTCCTGCTTTCCCGGTGTAGCAGTTCAGATGCTCAGATTTAAGGTGACTCTCTTGTAATTAGATTGTATACCTGGAAAATTATTTTAAAAATGTAAATTTTCCAAATATAGAATCTAATTATTGGGTGATTATCTTGAATTTGACATCTTGGATGCATCTTGGATTTGGGTAAATACAGTAAGTTGTTTTTTTCTTAAATATCCAGAAATCCTTTTCCCCAAAAACAGTATGCTGGAAATTTTGTTCACATAAATCCTACAAATGTGAGTTATTGTCTAAATAGCCTTTCCATAGCTAAATACTTATGATCTGAGTGTAGTCCCCACCAACATTAAAGTACTGGTAGCAGAAGCTACAAGGTGCTGCAGAGATTCACGTAGTTGAACATAATATTGGAGATGAATAAAACTCTGCATTTTTAATAATTATGGGAAATGGCCTAAAATAAGGCTTCTCAGTAACACATTGCAGAACGCTGTCCCAGTTAGTGGCTGCATAAACATGTAAAGGACATCATATTTTGAAATATATCCTACACTATTATTTTTTGACATTTGATAAGAGAGAGGAAAGGCCAAGAGCTATTTTCCTTCTGCATTTCCTTGCCAGAAATAAAAGATAAAAATAATATAAATGGATATAATAGATTCCTGGAATGTAGAGCATATCACAGGAATATTAAGATTTGAATAATTAAAGTTGGTGAAAACCGTTGTGAGATCCTTCAAGAAACAAAACCATAAGAGTGCTCTTTGCATAGGGCTATCTCTTCAAATCATTTGGAAACGTCAGCTAGTGAAGAACGTAGAAGCGCACATATTAAGAGAGAATTTTGCAGTCATGGATAGGTGATCATTTCTGTCAGTAGTCATTTCTGTCAAATCTTTTACTATTTTCTTTCTTTCTTTATTTTTTTCCCCCTATTTTTGTTATTTACTCCTAGAAAAATACCCTGGAGTTGTAGCATACAGCAGTTTCAGCACCTTGACTGGAGAGCTACATTGGTGAGCTATCCTGCCAGGGAGCATTAGTGAAGTCCATTGATTCATAGCCTGCCTCTTTCACATGCAGCCTGGGGGGAATGCCCCTGCTATCCCACCAGTCAGTTGATCAGTGGGACAGGGGGCTGTTCTCCATGGAGGGGCACTGTCTTGGTTCCTGCTACAGGATAATAGCCCCTGCTCTCTACACTCTCTTCAAGTCAAACCCTGGGGCCTGGGAACCTTACCATCTCAGCACGGTTGCCTCCCACCCCCCACATTCCTCTTGGTCAACTGGAAGATTGCTTGGGGGGGGAACGACATTCACAGCAGTAATGCACCCAAATCCCTGGGAGCCTTGTCACTGTAGGTGAGTCTCCCCTCCCCCTCAGCTTCCTGCACTCCAGGTCAACCCAGAGGAGTTGGGGGGAGAGGAGGGCTGAGGCTGAAGGGTTGCCACTGCATGCGAATGCCCTCCGCCCTGCCAGTCAGGTGATTGGCAGGAGATGGGGGGTGGGGGCGGGATTTTTCAGGGCAGAGTCCCCACAGGGCTCTCTGACAGCTTACCCCTGGCTGGAGTACCAGGGAGATAGGGCCCTCTCTCCCTTCTCCCTTCCTCTCCTTTGAAAGAAAGAATGAAGAGAAGAGAACTGTGGGATATTGGGTGGCCTCTACAACCAAGAGTAATGTACAGCCATTCACTCCTCCTGTTGAAGCTGATACTCTACAGAAAGGAATTCATGGGATCCTGGAATTTTCTAGAAAGTTTTAGGAAAACCTGCTAAACAGGTTTTGAGTTGCCAGGGATGGCATTGTATTTTCAGAGAATACTAAATTTGCTGCATTTATTTCAGGAAAGAATTTTCTTGTGTACAAGTCAATCATGCTTGGACTAAATGAATTCAAACCCACTGTCTTCTTTTGTACATCACCATGTTGTAAAATCAACCTGACATCTACATTCACTTACTTTTGAGACTTAGCTTTTGAGATTTCCAGGAGAATCCCTTGATAAAACACATGCTGCCCCTTCTGAATATTGTAATATTGGGTCAGAAACGAACTAACAGGCCTTCTTTCCATTTCCTTCTCCATTTTTTTCTTTGAATTTTTGCAATGGGAACTATTAAACATTTCAAAATAACACCATTCCTTGCCTGGCCTGTATTAATCCAACTGGCTGGAACTGATTTTTCACATCAAGCCTCTCTAAAGCCTCTCCTCCTTGCAGAAGCAGCTGTAAACAGCTGATGTTAATTATTGTCCACTTGCTGACTATGCCAAATAGACATGCCATTAAACTGTGACAAAAACGATTCCCAGACTGTTAAGTCCTCCCTCCCTTATATCTTTGGTAACACTAACAAAATACTGATATGTTTTTACTCTGGTGACTGCTGTTGCTAACTACTAAGAAGGTGACTTGTCTTCTGTAATAATCTGCATTGCATGGCTCAGATGATCGAAATGAGATTGCTTGACTGCTTCTCTTTTTGCAGCTGTTTTCCAAATGAAAATCTTTAAAATTTTAATGGTAGTTCAGTGCAAATGAATGTATAAATTGTAGCAGGCACTCATTTTTTTGGATCTTGAGTATATTGAGATGATTAGCTGCTTCATGAGGTACAAGTAAGAGAATTTAATAGGTGATGTTGAAGAAAGATTATTAAAGTAGTTCAGGGTAGGTTATATGCTAGTTGTCAAGTGTAATACAAAATACAAATGTCTCAAAAACACAAAACAGTTCAAAGTTGTTATTTTATCATATTTTCCACCTACACATTTTACCTTGGAACATAAACCTTATCAGTACAAGCAAAATGTCCCTCTTGCCTATATTGGCATAAAAAGGACAGTAGTCTTCAGACCTTGTACTGTTTTCCTTTTGTTTTGCCATAGACTGCCTCCTTGTAAACATTATCATTACTGCATACTGATGAGTTTAAATGACAATTATTAGATTTGGGGACAGCTTGCAGGAGCTGTGATTGATACACCGGTCCAGGTTGGTCCCTAACAATCCCAGAATATAAGGAGTACAAAGACAGGGACCCAAAGGAATGGAGAAACTGAAAATTGGTACCAGGGTTTCTTAAAATCCATTTTGCATTTTCTGTCTCATTAGATGTCCATATAAGGATTTAAAGCACATTGACATTATGAGGAAATTAAGCTTTGTAATGAACCTGAGCTGTATTATTATACCTCTTCTACCAATGGAGAGACAGGCAGGAAAAAATGTGTGATTACTATGGTGCCTGAGGGAATCTATGGTAGAATTGGCCTATTCCTCATCTAAAAGAACTTTGTTGTAGCAATTTCAAGCTGTTGGTAAAAAAATAAGTCTCGGATGTTATATTCTAAATTATCTCCACATAAAGATAGCTTAGGAAGCTGTATTAAAACTACTTAGAGAAGTATGATGGCACAACTATACTTGTACTTATTATTGATTGGAACTGTTTTGTCCATTTTTCAACAAGCTTCACTACAACTTTTGATTACTTTGTTGAAACTGTCATGTGCAGTAAATTAAAAGTGTTCTAAGGAAAACATTTGCAAACCGTTTTGAATATATGTAGAATTCAACAGTTTTGAATATAGGTGGTTTTAATCTTTCAAAATAGATACATTGGGCACATCTACATGTGCAATTAAGTGGAAGAAATAAACTCCAGTGCATATCGTGTTGGAGTTATTTGCACGTGGGTACACTGTTTGAACACATATCCTGGCTCTGCAGCACATTGAGCCAGGTTGGAACAGCCCCAGCTGGCAAAAATGTTGGGGGGTCAGCCTGCCAGCCTGGGGCTGCTCCGACCCAGCTCAATATGCTGCAGAGGGGCTGGCTGTGACATAAGGGTGCTCCAGTGCAGGGCTAGGCAGCAGGCAGCCCCTGTAATGAAGCACCCTCGAGCCCCAGCCAGTCCCATCAGCCTCTACACGTGCGTTGCTGTGGAGTAAAAAAGCTCCGCAGCAGGATAGTACTTATATTTACAAGTAGTAACCGGCTGCAGAGTTACTTAGCTTACTGTGGCCTAATAGGGGCTCAGGTGTAGACGCTGAGACATTTACTGTGGAGCTAATTAGACAGTTCCACAGTAAACATCTTGCGTAGATGTGCCCATTGACTGCCAGTGCTGTTTGAGGGGAACAAGGGATATCCTTCATGTAGAATTCTGTTGTGAAGAATTCTGTCCCTGAGATCTAACACTTTTTTGCTTGATATGCCAGGATATCAGATGTCAACTTGGTAATTATTTCCCCTCCCACTGACAAGAGTTGCATCATTTTTATATATGCATGAAGTTAAATTCTTACTTGAACAAAATTCCTACTGATGCATATAGGAGTTGGCTTAAGTAAGGACTTAAGTATTTAGCCTTTATTTTATGTAAAATAGTTTGGGATACTTTGGTGCTCTGTTTACATTTAAAAACAATGTATGCATTTCTTTGTGCCAAAAAGATGTGTACCTGACTAGTTTTTTTATCTTTTTATCCACCCAGTCTGACACAAATGCAAGTTACCTCCGGGCTGCTCGAGCTGGTAACTTAGAAAAAGCTCTTGACTACTTGAAAAGTGGAGTGGACATCAACATTTGCAATCAGGTTGTAGAATATTTTGATTATTTATTTAATGTTCTGTCAGCTTCTCTCACTTGTGTAGGAATTGGCTGTTCAGATCAATAATTACTTGGTTAATGTATTGATATCAGAATCTGATGGCCTCTTTACATCTCGTGTACAAGAAAAAATGTAATAAATATATAATCTTTTCATACGTTATTAATTTACTTCAACTAGGGTACCACTGCAGTCTTGAATTTGATCTTGCCATTCTATTTTTGTATTAGGATTTGTGATAATATGTAATATTTAATACTGCAAAGCTTCTGTATCCCAGTTAATACATATCATTTCCTGTAGCCAAGGAGGTATAATGTTCATATGAAAATAGCTTTTGCCAGAGATAATCACTCTGGCATGTAATCATTTGGTCTCATGACATATTGGTTACTGCACTTGACAACGTGGGTCAATCATTGCCATTATATTTTTTTTTATCAGAATGGGTTGAACGCTCTCCATCTTGCTTCCAAAGAAGGACATGTAGAAGTTGTCTCAGAACTGATACAGCGAGGTGCCAATGTGGATGCAGCAACAAAGGTCAGAAGCTTCTATCTAGCTCTTCAAATGTTTAAACAAATTCTATATAAGCAGAGTGTCAACCAACTTCCAGACATTATCGTAGCAGTATAAGTTATTAAATGTTTTCTCATGGTAGTGTGGCTCTCAAGAAATGTCTAACACAGATCTCGTATGTTATAATAAATGTGCTGTGTGTTACTAGGAAGAACATTAAATCATGACATTAGAACATTGTCTTCAATTTTTATCTTTTAAAATAATTGACCCTGGAAACATTGTCTTATTATGATAAAATAATATATTTTTGAAATGGGTTACATGGTTGACAGGCTTAATTAACTTTTCAAGTGCAAATTTTATAATGCATTGTAAAGCATTTTCACAGTTCATCTCTCTCTGATTTCAGAAAGGAAACACAGCATTGCACATAGCATCCTTGGCTGGGCAGACAGAAGTAGTTAAAGTGTTGGTTGCAAATGCAGCCAATGTCAATGCACAGTCTCAGGTAAGGTAATTTTGTTGACTGTTGTTGTACAAAAATGGCAGCAATATCGGTTCAGTGTGCTTTTCCTTTCTTAACCTGTGAGTTAAGACTGTATAAATGAAAGGTGGTTTTTTCATTAATGCAGACTCAAGAGAAGTGGAAGCTTGTAAGGTAAATAAAATTAGGGCAAGAAAAATCATTTAGGTAAAGTAATACCAATTCTTCCTTTAATTAATATCACAGTCTTTAGCTCTTGTCTTCCATGGTAGGCAAATGCCTACATGAAACTATCCCCTTTTTTGCCCCTGGTTATTGTTCTAGACTGTACCATGTCTATCTACTGGACGCCGTGCATGTGACTTCCACTCGAGCCTGGCCATGACTTCTTTGGGATGAATGGGTCAGTTGCTGGGTGACTCTAGGGTCATGCACCATGAGCCTCACCTGCCATGTCTTTGATGATTGGTTTATTTCACTTGGGAGGACAATGTTTCGGTCCCGCTTCCCCTGGTGCTTCTCCTCGGGTCACTTCCTTCGCAGCTCTTTCGTGGAGCTCCGCCTCCCCTACACCCCGCCTACCGCCAACCGTGATGGAATCATTCATCATTGAGGATGGTGTTCTGGGTTCTCTCCTCGCTCTAGCCTACCAGGTCT